AAAGTCCTGATTAGTTGGCCCAAACGGGAGCCGATCCGGAATTCGGCTCCCTGGACTGTGCGCGTGGTCAATGGTGCCACTTGTCCCTAAACCACCTCCACGAGAGATGGACAAGACAAAACTGTCTGAACAGTCCCGGGCAGGTGAAATTGTGCAAGACGTCGAAAGGAGGAAATCAAATCGTCTCCAGAAAGCCAAAGGATTGAACAGATGTGAAATGCGCGGCATATCCTGAACAAGGATTAGCTGTCGAGAGCTTTACTGTTCTTATCCTTTGTCTAACCACAAGAGCTTGATAGAACTATTTTAGGAAACACAAGCAGAACTACCTCGCGGTTCGGTTCCCAGGACATTTGATGTCATCGTTCGTGGTGAATTGGTTGAGTCTGTACAGCCGGGTGATCGTTGCATGCTGACGGGTACACTTATAGTAATTCCAGATATTTCGCAGTTGAGCTCCCCAGGTAAAACGTCATCTACAGTTGTAAGCCCATATATCCCGTTTACATTGTTCTACGCTTTTCAGGCCTTAGGGCTGAAACTGGTGGTGGCAATCGTGGTCGTGAGAGGGAAAAAGGCCAAGGGTTGACAGGATTGAAGGCACTTGGTGTGCGTGAGCTCTATTACAAGCTTGCCTTCCTCTGCTGTCACATTGAATCAGCTAATACAAAGGTGAGCTTTTTGATGTAGGGTTGAAAGCATTTTAGCTATAAGAAGACTGGTTCCACATATTGGCATATTTTAGTCGGGAATTTACCGTAACAGTGCAGTACACCAGTTTTCAGTTCGGTGGCAAGGATTTTTCACATGAAACGATGGATAGCCTGTCGTTGTGGAAAGCAATGTCTCAGCAAGAACAGGCTACTTTGAAAGCAATGAGTGAGGATAAGCGTATTGCTGAGAACCTGGTCGAGAGCTTGTTCCCAAACATATACGGAAACGATGAGGTACGTTGAATGACTCTTCTTCTCCCTAGCTAGACGTCGCCACTTGTTCCGATCCACTGCATCTTCTGCCGTGGCTTTCACTTCAGTGAGGTCCTTCTTGATGACGTCCCTCCATCTTTTCTTTGGGGCTCCTCGTGGTCGCTTGCCCTCTACTTCGAATTCCAATGCCTTCCTTATTGGGTGGTCTTCAGGCCTCCTCAGTACGTGCCCATACCATCGCAGTCGCTGCTCTCGTGCCTTCAGCTGGATCGGGG